GAAGGCAGGTGTGTTGAGGCAAGTTGGAGCTAAACTCTGCAGGACACCGGCCCTCCAGGACCGAGTTTGGGCACCCCTGGTCTAATCCATGTATGCAAATTTGTATTTCCTCTTATTCCAGTTTTGTCCTCACCTCCACACACAAACCCAAACCTGTACACACAATAATCATATGTAATTGATCTGTTTGAGTGTGTTTGATTTGTCAGGTTTTCACATGTTAAAAAACAGCAGCATTGTATCATGTGCCTGCAGGCCTGTCACTCACTGCACTGACACATCCAGCATTCCCTCTAACAGCAGTTTATTTTCTGTATTACTTTTATAAATCACAGGATAAGATGGCAACAGGCTATGTAGGACTGCTTCAAAATTCAAAAACATAAACACAAAGACAAGCATTTGCATTTGCAGTCAAATACAACTGTGTCCCTCATTTCAAAAGCAACCATGTTACACCATGATGGCCCTCCCCTTTCACATTACATGTGGCTCTCAGGAAGTAACAATTTGGATAATTTATATGACATAACAGAAAGACAAGTAAATACTATTGTTCCATTTTCTCTTTTTTAATGTTAAATTTGTACATTTTAATGTTGACAACATTCAAATTATATATATATATTATATTATATATTATGGCTGTCAGTTTAACACATTAACTTAATTAATTAGTTATTAAAAACTAATGCGATTAAAATATTTTAGCGCAGTTAACGCACTGGCCTCGCCCTGAGACCTGAATATTATCTTACATTTCATACAGTTGACTGTTTACAAATATGATGCAGGGCAATAACTCCATAAATGTAGTTATGCCCTAAAATTCAAGATATTGGTGCAAAAATGCCCTTATATGTGTTTTTGTCTCATATTTATATCATATGATAAGCGATATCACACGTGCAGCGAGAGCAATAGCCTGTCACACAAGTGCTGATTTTTTCCCGAATATCACGAGTTTATACAGTATGTGATTTTATACAGCAGTTCAGTAAATAAGAAGTTGATATTGTGTTATATTTTATACACAATAATATGGATTTTGCTCAGTTTAGCAGAGAACATTACCTTAAAGCCATAGCAGAATTGTTGCGCGTCTCCGAGCAACACAGCAGTGTTTAGTTTCTGAATGAATACGCGTTTTGAACGAATTGTGTGAACCAATGATTCCACGGCCCATTCATAAAGAGAGTCGTTTACCTCATTCCAGAAAGAATCAGCCGTTCGAATGAATGAATGACTCAAAGATATTTACCGCCACCTGCTGGTAGATTTAGTTTCTTACTTAAAGTATAATTTAATTTATATATATATATATGATAAAAATAAAAATATTACAGGGATAGTTCACCCAAAAAACAATTATTCTGTCATCATTTACTCACCCTCATGTCGTTTCAAACCTTTCTTTTGTGGAACATAAAGGAAGGTATTTTGAAGATTGTTGGGAACAAACCTCTTTTGGTTACCAATTACTTTCATTGTATAAACAAAAAATACTGAGATGTTTCTCAAATTATCTTCTTGTATGTTCTATAGTTTATGTTAGGCTGTTGTAGCCTAAATGTTTATGTGAAATAAGTATTTTCAATGACAGCTAACTGCAGTCCAACATCTTACACAAACTCTGTAAATTTTATGTTGAATCAAATAAAATAGTTCTAAAGCTACAATTTGTAATATCTGCTTGATACTTTCTCATTTAACACAAAAGATAGCTTTAAATAATCTTTTGTGGGTATTTTTTGTCTCATATTTATATCATATAATAAGCATATCACAGCAGCAACGAGAGCAATATCACACGAGTGCTGTTTTTGTCACGAAGAACACGAGTGCAACTGTTATTTTATACAACAGTTCAGTAAATAAGAAGTTAATATTGTGCTATATTTTAAACACAATATTGTGTGTTTTTGTTCAATTTTGCCAGCGAAAATATTACCTAAAAAGCCATAGCAGAATTGTTGCACGTCTCGGAGCAGCACAGCGGTGTTTAGTTTCTGAATGAACCCGCGTTTTGAACAAATCGTGTGAACCAATGATTCAGTAGTCCATTCATAAAGAGAGCCATTTACTGAAGTCCTAAATGAATCAGCCATTTGAACGAATCAACGTTTCTTCTTTAGAGTATCATTTCATTTATTTAAAAAAAAGAAAACATTAAAGGGATAGTTCACCAAAAATAAACAAATAAATCCTGTCATCATTTACTGTCATCGTTTAGGCCATTGTAGCCAACACAATAACAGCTTTAAATTAACTTTTGTCTTTTGGGGGTATTTTCACAGCCAAATTTAGTTTGCGATTAATTAGATGAATTAATCGAAACATCATCTAATTAATTAGATTACAAAATTTAATCGACTGATAGCCCTAAATGTTGGGGGGTGGGGGGGCTCTATGTTATGGAGCTTATATATATATATATATATATATATATACGTGTGTGTGTGTGTGTTTGTGTATGATAAATTGATAAATAAATATATAAATGTACACAGTATGTGGCATTTGTGTTTATGTGTACAACTTTTTCAGGAAAACAATCCAACACTAGGAGAGTGAAAGAACCGACAGTTTCATTTCTCCTTCTGCTGAAAGTTCCTGCAAAAACCTGCGATTAAAAGCGATATGTGCTTATCAGCCCAGCTAGTGTACGTACAGCCTGCTGGGCAGAGCAATTAGAAAATCATCTGTCGGGGAGACAGGAAGTAGAAGCGTTCATAAGAATCACTGCGCTTAAGGTTGCAGATTACAAAAAAAAAATTTTCCTGTTGTGGTTCACATGTGGATGGAGTTTGATTCTGAAAGGCACAATATGTTGTTTTATATAGACATATAGTCTTCTCCCAACTATCACTAGTAATAAAAAGGAAACTGAGATTAAAAATGAAAAACATACTAAAATTCAAAACTACTCCTAGTGATTCACTGCCCTATCACACCTTATCGGCTGTGCGCTGAACTACACAGGGAGAAACCCGGAAAACTCGGCTCTGGAAGATCACAGAATTCCGATGCACATCGGCAGCAGAATTCCCAGGGGACGGCCTGCACCACAGCATGGAGCAGCTCTGATACACAGGCCTTCACCAAGCCCTTCCCGCCGTTTACTTACATTTACGTTCAAGGACACTATCGCACGGAGTTACAATATCACAGCTGGAGCATAAATCAAAAGTAATCCTGCAGACAAGCCTCTCTGTGTTCGGAGAAAGCCCGGCATTTGTAACTGCCACGATGCAGTAATGGATTTCATCGGGTTTGGAAAAGAAAGAGGAAACAACGGAATGGGATCCGACTTGGAAATGATAAGCGTGCATTTCTGATGAGTGAAAATGTCCCAGTTATTATCTGTGAGGCAGTTTTATATAAACAAATCAGATGTGATGCATTCAACACTTGGGGTTGTAAATGCCGGACTGGATTGTTTTGCACAATTTTGAGCATCACTTTAAAACTTTTGTATAATAAAAGACGATTTGAAGTAAAACAAAAGTGAAATTTAATTTTCTAGCAGTCAGCCTGCTCCCGTCTCTCACATCCAACATGACAATACAACAATTAGTGTCCTGTTTCATCTCAAATATGATGCAGAAAGCAAATTTATGATATTCTAGATACAACACATGCCCACAAAAATACTTCACAAACTGCATATGCACAAGGTCAGGAAACAAATTATGCAATGACTTTCACACAGCATGCAAAACCACAGGCCAAAATGCAATGCATTTGACTTAACCTTCCATTTTCAAAATAATTTAAATACCTTTTTTATTAAAAATATAAAACAATGATCAAAAATGGCAACTACACGCCCCTCGCTGAATTAAAAATGCAGCATAGTGAGGTCAAAGTAAAAAAAAATTAACAAATGATATTTTATTTACATAATTATTTTATTTTTATTTTTTATAATTAAAAAAGGTTTTATAATTCTATAGTGATGCTTAAAGTTGTGCAAAACAAATTAGAGTAATAATAACAAACAGCCATTTGCACCCAAGGAACCCAAAACTAAAGACTTTTAAAGCACTAAAGATATGAGCATGATATAAACATTTCTAATGAACTGATAAATAATGACAGTCACTAAACAACAAAAAAGCACTGAAGATGTCTATTATTGTTGTCTATTTGGCACCTACACACAATGACAAACTTGTAATCTCATTTTCGTGGTTTTGAAACATTGTTAGTAAAGCTGTTTAAATATTCCTGGATGAAATTAAGAACCTTTTGTTTCAACTTTCTTTGTTGAATTTTAAGCCTTAATGGAAACTCCAACCCTCTAAAAAATTGCATTTGCACTTTGATGCTTAAAAGTTTAAGCATATACAGTACAAGCACGTACACACACTTTTCAATCGATCTGTCAGCCTGTGTCTTTAACTCAAGGCCACATGAGACCTGCGGTACATGTCAAGAGGAAGCAGTTTGTTTCAGTCAGAATGTGACACTTTTCACCTGTTGTCAAAGATGATGAAGATTTATATGTGTCCCTGTTTGCAACTTCACATTTGTCAATGGCAAATTTTTGTGCAGAAACAATCAACAGAAGCTACACTGCAAAAAATAAAGCCAGTTTGAATCAGTATCATGGTCTTGTTCTAAACATCTTTAAAACAACAACAACAACAACAAATATGTTCTTGAACTTTAAAGGTTCTTCAGCTCAGATTTGGTTTCTAGGCTATTTAAAGTGACACCAAGATCATTTCTGATCTAAAAAGAAGTGAAAATGGTTCTTGATAAAGAGAAGGTTCTTTGCTGTACCTAAGAACCACTGAAGAACCTTTATTTTCAGATTCTGGATAATATAACGTTTTACAATTCTGAGCATCTGTCACCGTCTGTCGTAAAAGCTGAGGGGAATCATTATGGCTCATCAATGCATCCAAATGCACAGAACAAAGCGCTTGTAGCAGTGTGCTACAACTATAAAATATACATACAAATACCAAAGTAAAGCCCATGCATTTTATGTCTTCTTTCTTTTTTCTCCTTCACTGGAATATATTTCATGAGTGAGGCTTCCTGCCTTCACCTCATCTTCCTGTTTTCCTTCTCATGCATGTCAGCGAGCTCGCATACCTTCAGTGCTTTGGCCAGATTTCAGGAGAAAGAGATCCAGAGGGCAGACATTAGAATTTTATATCACTTCAAGACAGGGGAGGGAGAGAGTGGAGAGCATGAAGTTCTTCTGACAGTCATCGAGGGCTCGGAGAAAATGGTGGGATGTGTTTTCGTGCGTCTCACCTGAGAGGCATGCTTAAATGTGCGCTCATGATAAGGTAATTCCACCACACCGTATTTCATCGCATGGCCGACAGGTTTATGTTTACCAGATCGGCCATAAGCATTACTGATTGAGACAAAGAGAAAGGCAGAACATGTCAAATAAAAACAGGGTTTCGAAAGCATCAGTGAGAAAAATAAATAAATAAAAATCACATATTAAAGTCACCAACTCTCTGGGGGTGATCTTGGAAAAACAAGTCCAGCTCACATTTCATCCCAAAAGTCAATAAAAAAAGTTATATTTTCCATAAAGAAAATGAAGCTTATTTTACTTTTATTTTGGGGTGAAAATGGACCAGGAAATATCATATTTTGCATAAATATTTCACTCATATTTTAAGACCATTTTCACACCTAAATCAAAAAGTTTTTTTTAAATAAATATTATTTGGTATGAAGAAAATGTGTAAATACTTTGGATCATTTTCAACCAAAATCAAAAGAATAAATAAAATCATATTTTTAATGAGGAAATGAGGCTAATATTTTTCTTTTTAGTTTGAAACAAAAAATAAAAAATATAGAAAATATAAACAATTATGCTTTGCATTAAATTTACTTCTATTTAGGACCATACTTTTATATAAGACTATTTTCATCCAAAAACAAAAGAAAACTAAGCTTATTTTTTCTACTTTTTATTTAATATATTATAGATGTATATTTTGTATGAAAATTATATTTATATTTTAAAACCTTGTTCACTTCTAAAGAAAAAACAACAGTGTAATAAAAAGAAACATTCTTTTGCATAAAGAAAATGACCCAAAAGAAAAAATAACAAATTATATTTCGCTTAAAGAAAATTAGGCTTATATTTTTCTATTAGTTTTGGGCTGAAATGGTCTTAAATATAGAAATTATATTTTGCAAAAAATATTTAAAAAAACTGTACTGTACTTATATTTAAAAGTATTTCCATCCCAAAACCGAAAGAAAATAAATTATATTTTGCAC